GCTATTAAGAGATATTATTTTGGCCACAACTAATCTAATATGTTCCCTTTCAATTTAGTCACCAACATTAAAGGGACACCATAGTCACCAGTGCAACTACATGTATTCCTGACCACATAGTGTTAACACCACCATCTGGCCCTCCCCCCTCCCCCCCAGGGCCCCTCATGCCTCCATAAATATAGTACAAATCTTACTGTATTCAAGCCAGAAGCTGTAAATCTGCGTGCTGTTAGACTCAGGAAAAACAAGCAATCTGCTGACATGTGATAGCCTGATCCAATCACAGTGCTTCCCCATAGGATTGGCAGAGACTGACAAGGAGGCAGATCAGGGCAGAGCCAGCATGAGTCAAACACAGCCCTGGCCAATCAGCATCTCCTCATAGAGATGAATTGAATCAGTGAATCTCTATGAGGAAAGTTCAGTGTCTGCATGCAGAGGGAGGAGATACTGAATCACAGGATGCTCATGCACAGCAAATCTGAGTGGATGGAGGCATATTATGCCTCCATCAACTCCGATGTCCCTCTGGTTCACTCTGAGTGACTGCAACTGGAGGTGTTCCTAGCTTTCAATGAAAACACTGTATTTTATCAGAAAATACAGTGTTTACATGAGAGACTGCAGGGAGCTATAGTTCTCACCTGAACAACCTCATTAAGCTGAAGTTGTACAGGTGACTATAGTGTCCCTTTAAATGTTAGTAATGACAAATTGAGAATTTTGTCCTGCTGAATCAAATAGAGCTTGTGAAAGGGCTTATTTTTAGGGCTATTTTAAGGATGTCCATTAGTATATTTCATTATAGATTATGTTTTTGCGTGACCATAACCATTTCAGATAACGTTTGTGGTGTCTGGTAAATTTTATTTACAATTTGTATATTCTGTCCTTAGGGGAGCATAGGTAATAGAACTGTATTTTTCTGTTTAAATCTCAGTGTTGGTAATTTGAAGTGTTTGAGAAGGTTTTTTGTTTCTTATTTGATTTTTTTTTCAACCATGGCGCTGTATATATTGTGATATACATGTTGTAAAATGCTCACATGGGCTTCACAGTGGTTTATAAACATCTACATAGCCAAGAAAATACTTGACAACCTTTTAATTACAATTTAGCAGATAGATTTCATAATGTTAAAGAAATAAGCCAAGACTCAAATTATTAATTCAGCAATAAACACATTCATTCATTCCACATTCCAATTTTGTTTCTGGTGACCCCTAATTTTCTTTGTATATTAATAATAATGGAACACATTGTATATTTTTCTAATATTGAGTTAAGTTAATCAGTTGGTTATGATCCATTGTTGTGGTCACAATAACTGCACACGTTGTAAATTGTTAAACCAAATCTAAAGAATTTGTGCCACAAGTCAAAAGTGAGAAACCCCAAAATGTATCACTTCCTGGAGCCTTAATAAAAGATATATGATATCTTATAAGAAATGTAGAAATAAAGAACATGAGTAGGGCAGAAGAGAAGCTTGGAGATTAGATTGTGGTTGAAGTAAAAATAAAAAAGCAATATTTCCTCTGTGCAAAGAAATAGGCATTTTCAGATATCCACGGAAATGACTGTGGTCCAAGGGCACTTTCAATTACAATGTCAGGTCCTGAATCCCCTCTAGAAGAACTGACCTTAACAGTTATTTTTACCCTTGTCCCCGAAACCCATATGTGTTCCCTCAAAGGTGTTTGCCACATATTCATTCATAAAGGAGCGGCATTAATGGCAGACAAGAGTAATGCACATGCTAACAAATGGTGAATACTTCTTGCAGGGTGCTCCAGAAAGGGTGAACCAATCTCTAAAGACAACAAATGGAAGAAAATAAATATCAAGCTGATGGATTGCTGGATGCTTGCCTGATGTGCCCGGAGGAGTGGAGAGGTGGACGATCTTCGCTCCTGTCTGAGCGGCCGAATGGTGTCCCGTTCCCCCTCCCCCTCTGGGCCGGGGGGCTGATCACGGTCCAATATATGGAGGCTCCCACACTGCACCAAGGGCACGTGGCATTATTTCGACATTGCATCGCACCCAAAATGGCGGACGCTGCATGATCCCTAGATCCATGTAAGGCATGATACGCGGTTCAGCTGCAACCATACGTAGGGTCCAAATCCTGGTAAGCAGAGGAGCGAGCTCTGCTGGCACCCATAATACTGAGAGGGCTTGACTGAGGAGCTATGGTGTCAAGCGGCACAGGGGTTAGTGAGCCCTTTCTTCCCTACTCTGGGCCTACTCACTGTGAAGCTGAGAGAGATGCCACACACATCGGCTGACTACAGCAACAAGCTTGGAACGTTTCTCTCTGAGTCAGGAACTTTACCAAGCAGCAATTTTCTATTAGTCCACAGGACAATCACCCCTTGCCAGAAGGAGAGGACCTCCTGGAGATTTCACTCTGAACCAGTCAATTTCTCCTGCAGTTCCTAATATATTTCTTTTAAGTGCACATGCTCTGCTTACTTGCCTTACATTTTTAGGCCTAGCACTGTTAACTCTTTCTTGTTTAAAAAAAAAAAGTTCTATATCATACATACACATTGCTTGCAAGCGATGACACGATGGTTGACCATGTATTGTCTGACATGTCATTGTTATATTCTAAGCACATCAAAAATAAATAATTAAAAAAATAAATAAAAGGCATTCTTTTTATTTGAAACAAGAAAGTGGAGATGATGTTTCAGCTCCTCTCTTAGCCTTTATCAAGCTCAGTCTGAGGGAAAGAATGAGGGAGGTGCTGGGGGCTGGAAGAAGGGGCTGGGGGGGCATTTTCAGTTTGCCAGGGGGACGGAGGGAGCACTGTGAGGCTCCCTTCAGAATCCCCAGCAATTTGGTGCCTCTATGCTCCGCCTCCCGCCCTCAGACCCCACCTCCCACAGGGAAGCCATGCCCATTACAAGCTCCGCCCCCACACTCACACACCGGAAGGAAGAGGGCAGACTTCGCCTCACAGTCTCCCACAGCCTTCTGTGACAGGTACATAACAGTGATTGTGTGTGTGTGTGTGTGTGTGTGTGTGCCTGATAGTGAGTGAGCTTGTGTATGTGTGTGTGTGCCTGATAGTGAGTGAGCTTGTGTGTGTTTGTGTGCCTGATAGTGATTGAGCTTGTGTTCGTGTGTTTCCTGATAGTGAGTGAGCTTGTGTGTGTGTCTGATAGTGAGTGAACGTGTGTGTGTGTGTGCCTGATAGTAAGTGAGCTTGTGTGTGTCTGTTTGTGCCTAATAGAGAGTGAGCTTGTGTGTGTGTCAGTAAGTTTGTAGTGAGCATGTGTGTGTCAGCGAGCTTGTCTGTAGTGAACCTGTGTGTGTGTGTGTGTGAGTTTGTAGTGAGCATGTCTGTGTCAGTGAGCTTGTCTGTAGTGAGCATGTGTGTGTGTGTCAGTGAGCTTGTGTGTGTGTCAGTGAGCTTATGTGCAAGCGAGCTTGTGTATGTCAGCTAGCTTTTTTGTAGTGAGCATGTGTGTGTCAGTGAGTGTGTCTGTAGTGAGCATGTGTATATGTGTCAGTGAGCTTGCTTGTAGGGAGCATGTATGTCTATAGTAAGTGTGTGTTTGTATACCCATGAGTTTGTCTGTTGTAACCTTGTGTGAGTGTCAGAGTTTGTACTAAGTTTGTGTGTGTGTGTACCAGTAAGCTTGTGTGCATGTGTCAGTGAGATTGTTTGTCAGTGTCTGTCATTATCAGTGTCATTATTATTATTGCCATTTATATAGCACCAACAGATTCCGTAGTGCTTTACAATATTATGAGAGGGGGGAGTTAGCTATAAATAGGACAATTACAAGAAAACTTACAGGAACGATAGGTTGAAGAGGACCCTGCTCAAATGAGCTTACAGTATATATAAATATACACACACACACACACACATACACACATATATATATATATATATACACACACAGACTTATGGGGCTGGCATACAATTTTTTCCCAGTTGCTTTGTATCTTCAGTCCAGCCCTGCAAAAAAGGTCCAAGCATTGATGTCATTACAATTATTACAATGGTTTTTGTCTCCTCTCTGAGCCTTTATCAAGTCTGACTTGATAAAGGCTGAAGTGGAGCCGAAATGTTGTCTCCACCTTCTTGTTTCAAATAAAAAAAAGAATGCCTTTTAGAAGAAATCTCGGTGTGCCTGGATATTTCTTTTCTTTCATTTGTGTTTTAGGGAGTGTGATGTAACAAGGAGTGTGATGTAATAGTTCAATTGTTGATAAATTCACCAGAGGACATTTTATTTTGCAAATTCACTAAATCCCCAACTGTTGTTTTTATCATACTGTTTGTCACGAACGCACCCTACTACAAGAGTGTGCGTGATGTAGTTGTGGTGGTGAAAGGGTTAAAGTTCCCTATTTGTCTGCACTAGACCAGAAATAAGGACAAAATCTCCCTTTTAACACCACCCACACTTAAACATAATAATATAAGTATTACTATTTTAACGCTGCCACCCCCAAGACAATTTATAAATGGGGTGCCTTGGTCCCCCAGGTAAATTAATAATAAAACCCACTAAATATTACTTAATACAATACTTAAGGAATTGCAAAAATACTAACTAGTCTCTTCAGGTAATGTGACTCTTAACCAGACAAAGGCAAAACTTAATAAATGAATGTTTATTATGAGCAAAAGATAGTCACAGTGCATATAACAATATATGATAAACAGATTATTTACACCAACAACAGATAAAAACAAAAAGGATAAAATACAGAAGTCCTAATTACTCACTTAGGTTTGCAAAGTACAACTTCTGGCCAGGGGGTCTCTGGCAAGGAAAGATGGTGACTCACTCAACATTAGATCTTGGCCAGAAGCACCCTTCAGGATCATTAGAGATATACCCTGTGGATTACCACACCTCACCCAGAGGTGGAGTTAAGTCATACCTACAGAAATAATAAGTGACCACCCCCTTGCGTCTAGACCCAGATCAATCCAAATAGAAACATTTGGTTCTATCTTCTCTTATGTACCACCACAGAAATAATAATTGCCTCTATGAATTTGTTATTATTTTCCCATTCTATACATATGTTGCATGCTGGCCTTGCGATCCGATAGGATGGACACCACAATTCCTTCCCCTATGGTCAAGTTAGGCCACTCATGTTTGGACTTGGTTAGAAGATGGCACTTGTCACATTCCAAATATAACAAAAATGAGGCTTTATTATTATTCTGTGGGGGTAAATATGAATGTTTCTGTCCTTCCTTTGGATATGATACTGGAACAAGGCTAATGGCATTTACATATCAAAGAGATTGGCTCATCCCTTACAAGGTACATGCCAAATGGATGAAGAGACATTCAGACTTTTCCAAGTGTAGAACCTCATACCTTGCAGAGCCTTGATTACTTCACATCCATATAGTAAAATCCTTTTCACATTGCTATGCATTCATACTACCCCTTCTGTCACGTGACCTCTGTGAGGGTCCCAGCTTCAAAAGACGTAACCCCTTTTGACCTCAACAATACCATCTCTGTAATTTGTGCCATTTACTACACAAATTAAATTAAAGGATAATATTCCATAGTGTAATAATAAATTATGCACCCTTGCCGTAACACTGTTCATTCTGGTTACCTTCACCAAAACCTTAGTTATGATCATGTACTAGGATTTAGGCAAAACATGTTTAGTAATGTCTACCTATTTGTTTGTTTGAACAGCTCTTGTCTGCATACCTTTGGATTATGCAATATATTAATTCAATCATTATACAAATGTTGTTATTGTATATAATATATATAGATGCATTTTTTCTTGTAAGAAAGTGCAATTGGGTCTCCTAAATGCCATCATAAATCAGCCCACTACGCATATGCTAGTAAAGAACTGTTAACTGAGATCAATTGTTTCTTATTAATAGCATATTGAAAAATATATGGAATTTGATCAATCAATCTAAAGATAGGTAAAAGTCACTTTTGGCATTAATTACTTTTAAAATATTGGCAGGAGTCATTTCACTGAATGTAATACAGGGACATATTTATATCCAATATCTTCTACGTATCAAAGTGATAATTTTGCCGTAAGATAATACTTGTATAACAAATGTATTTATTACTGATTATTATCATCTTAGGCAACTTTTTAAAAAACAGAATATTAAAGTAATATATAGCTATGTACCTAACAGTTATTGTACAGCTAAATAAACCTCCACTATGCAAATTAAGCAGCGGTGCATCCTATTAATTTGATATATCCAGTTTTTCTACTTAAGTAGCAAATAAATGCAATAATCATAGCTACATCATAACCATTACTCTGCTTAAATATCTGAAATATTATGAGCATTATAATAGTTTCCAAGTGCTGCTAATTTTTATTGCAATAATTTATTAGCATTCTAAAATATCCAAAATACATAGTAGAGAAGAGACTGCAGGATGAATATTGATGCAAGATGAAAACAACATAATATAGCAAAGTGAACTGAAGAATGGTGTCACTCTCTTATCAATGTATTATCACTCTATAATAAGAAAAGGCTGGTGTGTAAGTGGCTTGGCTCATCAGTCTCACATATAATCAATGACAGTCAGTCAGTCACATAGTATCTCTCTTAATACCTCTAGACAAAGTATGCTTTGGATTCGTATAGTCTTGCATACACTCGTTTTTTAACAGAGGATGCAGCCAGCGCCATTGGCCAAGCATCTTGTATCATGGCGTATGAGTCTGCTGATTTGACCAACAAAATCAGCTCACTCCTCCTTCAACTCCCCATTCTGTGATTCAAAGACTGATAGGAAATTTCTCAATATCACTCCAAGCCAGCAACTGTTTTACCTCTGGTGCAGCTGGTTTGACTGCACTGGGGCCCGCAGCTGGGTTGCGCATCAGGAGAAACATGCACTTGGATGGGCGCTACGGCTGATTTACAGTGCGACCAGGCCCCTTTCACATCGGCGGCCTGGGAGGAAGTGAGAGCCAGCGAATTCCTTCCAGCTACATGGACAGCATGCGCAGGGGGCAGAGAAAAGGGAAGGAGTGGGGATAATCAAGGAGAGAGCCAGCTTAATCTCCACAAAACTCAATAGCCTCCGCCAACAGCACCACACAAAGGAAGCAACACTCCTGCACATAAAAGGTATATTGACAGGAGGTTGGCTAAAAATATAACAATTATTACATGCATGTGTGTATGTATGTGTCTGCGTGTGTATCTTTGTGACTATGTGTGTTTATCTCTTTGTATGTGTGTGTCCAGGTGTGTATCTATGAATGTATCTATCAATGTGTGTGTGTATGTGTGTATCTATGTGTGTGTCAATGTGTGTATATGTATCTGTTGGTATGTGTATCTATGTGTGTGTATGCATATGTGTATGTGTCTGTGTGTATATGTGTGTGGCAATGTGCAGGTCTGTCTGTGTAAGTATGTATATATGCAGCAATGTATGTATATATGTGGCAATGTATGTGCATATGTGGCAATGTATGTGCATGTGTGAATAGAAACCAGCAATCAAACACAAGCACTGCATGCAAACACACCCGTGCAATCAAATACAAACCTTATATACAAACACCATATAGTCAAAAGCCACCCTTTCAGTCATATGCCAAACAAACCACTTCATTCAAACACCAATACTACACACAAATGTACACCCACATTTAAAACGGTACATACAAACACACCCCTACATGCACACATATGCTCCATACATAAACATGAGAGAAGGAAATAATTCAGTGCTTGTGGATACTGTTATAATTCACCAAGGGCAGCCAAACACACAAATCCGGTGTTTCTCTTATCCAGAACAGTCAAAGTAAAGTACAGTCAAGAGGTTGATGTGCCGCCTAGATGATTCTTCGGGTATATATGTAAACAAAAATAGAAGAGAAGGAGCTGATATTGTAATATATCTTAATATTTAATGCGAGGATTATAGTAAGAAAAATGTACACTCACACTTTCTGGAGCTTCAATTCAGCTTCAACTTGCACATTTGGGCGGGAAAAATCCCTGCCTAGGAATATGGTGGTAATGCAATATGAAGTTCTCATGATGGTCAATATTCTTTTAGACAATGCATATCATATATCTGTTCTTTATGAACTAAAAATTATTATTAAAGTAACCAAGCATAAACCCTACCTGTTGTGTCACTTTACCCCTCTCCCTTTAGCATGTAAGTTCATTGAGCAGGGCCCTCAACCCCTCTGTTCCTGTGCATCAAACTTTGGTTACAACTACAAGTTTGTTAGTCCATCCATTGTAAAGCTCTACGGAAGTTGTTGACACTTTATAAATAATAATAATAATAATAGTAATAATTCAAATGAATAAACTGCTTACAAACACATGCCGACAAGGATGGGAAAATAGTAGATCCCCATTTGGCACAGCATCGTGGGAGTTGTACAACAGATGTGGCTCTACATTTTGGACACCCTTGCGCTAGAGGGGGGCCAAAAAAAAAATCTTACAGCAGGATCCTCTCTACATTACTTCTGTCAGGGGAAAGATGAGGTTTCTATGTTGATGCTCATGTTGCAAGGTAGACCAAGGGAGTAGCTGGAACTCCATTTTCTTCCTTAATGGGCGTCTTGAAGTTGGTTCTAAATTCCATTAGCTTGATCAGCAGTCTCTGATTTAGCAAAATCATTTACTAGATTTATTCCTACTTCTGCTTCTTTAGTTTCTTGAGTGAAGGTGTGACGAGACCAATCTCGCCACATTGCATTGAAGAAGCCTGGTTGCTCGCCTGCTGCCTTTGGATTATGGCCCCATGTTAAAAGACTTTGTTTCCCCTGCAGAAAATACTTATTCGACTAGACCACCTGGGAGCTGGAGTGTGCTGGCAATTAGCCTCCCAGAAGCTGCGGTTAACCGCAGCTTAATTGACAATTACTGGGTGGCCGCCATTCTTATACCGAACACGAGGTCGCAGCCATTTTAAACATGCGAACACACAGCGGTGTTCAACGCCTAACTCATGGAACTAAAAACGGACACAGTTTGGCGTGAACATCGCTGAAGCCGCCGACCTCCCTTCTTGTTCGGCGGGAGTGCACGAACGGCCCGGTGTTCGGGAGTTTTACCTAACTATGTTATACCCCAGATAGGAATCCCATGGAGCCCATTCATATGAGAACTGACTTTGTAAAGACTTTGGCTCCATGGCGATTAAACTGTATTCGTGTGGTCTGAGCGCCATTCGCTTAATAATGTGCGCTCAGACCTGAGCTATCTGGGGATAGGTTAAATGTATGGTTTTAATGTTATGTGTCTTGCATGGTATATTTTAATAGTAATTCTTGTGTTAGTATCCCCACGTGCATAATGGCGATTTGCCTTTGTCCTGGGAGATAATTGAATTACTTCTCAATTATCTCCAGGGCAGAGGGGAGGAAGCCAGGATGCATTGTGGGAATATAATGTGACTGTGTGTCCTATTTGTCTATTTGTCTGTCTTTTGTCACAGTCTCCCATTTGGTTTCTAGGGGAGTGTCCACCAGGTGGGAGACCTGCATAAATACTGGGCAGGTAGCCCTCATTAAACAGACCACTGCTTGACCCTCAACATGGAGCCTTGTCTCGTCTTTGGGGGGATTTACTGAATGCTGATAGAGACTGATTGCTAGGAGTGTAAGCCGCTTGGGTGCTTTTCCTATTCGTCTGCTAGCAGCTATTCGTATGGTTCCAGTTCGTGTGTTTGGAGTGCTATATTGTATGCCGTTCGGGAGTTTGGAGCATTCCCTTATTTGCGGTTTGGGAGTTTGGTGCTCTACAGTAGCTGTGCCTGCATCACTGAAAGAGGACGATTGCCTAAACGGTTTTTACCCCTTGTGTGCAAAACGGTCCGTTACAGAAGGTAATAAAATGAAAAAAAAAAATGTAATATAGAGGTGCTAAGTAGACATGACAGTCAGTGCTGCTAATCTCAACAGTGAAATCAATCACTAAATTTCACACATAAACATAAACACAATAGACAAAATGGTGGACCACGCACTAGTGTGAAATGAACTTGTGAATAAAATATAAGGTGATAAAACTGACCATAGATAAGTGAGCCAGTAACATAACAAACTTAGGTTACTTTATTTTTCATTCTGATGTTCAATCCTCATAGAAAGAGATGGAAACAGCAGGCACCAAGTTAAGGTAAAATCCGCAAATTTACTACATAAAAACCTTCCCTATCAGTAAGCTTGGTGCAGTGATCAGAGTTTCTCCACTTATGTAATTTGCACAATGCATTGTGGCTTAAGGGCCTTCTTCAGGTGCATAATTTTCTGTCAGTCTCTCCTTTTAAATGACAATTTTTGGCACCAAATGACCCTTGCCCCAGCACTTTTCTTCATTTCCGGTGCCAGTATAGACCTCGCCCATCTTTGTTTTTCCTAATACTGGCCTCAGAATTCATGGAATTCACCTGTGGCA